AGTGGATAACAGATGCTCTGTAAATGAGCAATAGCCCTGCTTATCTTGTTTAAATATCTATATGAGAATCAGGGTGAGGAGGCCCCCCAACTGCACCCCCTAGTCAAGACTTCCAGCACATTTAAGGAACATGCACTTAACATGCCCCACTGTGAATCAGATACACCTTCCAACTTGAGAACCCCAAGATTCTGGGTTCAAGACTCCCTTCCTCCCTGGAGTCCAACCTGGCCTTGCCATGTATCCTAGGATGCTGGTCTTTTTAGAATCTATTGCTCATAACTCTTGGCTGTTACATGGGGACACGATGTACGTCTGCCCCCTCCCCTATCCTCCCAAATAAAAGCATCCTGTGCTTTACTAGAGCACATGATCTAGGATTGCCCAAGACAGGACTGCAGTTCCCTGGGGTGAGGACCACAGCATGGGCCTCCCCAGGGTGTCACTGTGGAACCCAGTGCTATTCAGAGGAAGCTGGATGGAGAGGCTTTGCAAGGAGCAGTGCCTGGCCTATGGAAGCAGTGTGGTCTCACATTTCATCCCTTCCTCAAACTCCTTAGCCCACCCCCTTGGAATATCACAGGGAAGAATTTGAGTGGATAATTGCTTGGTAGCCACTCCAGAGAGCAGGAGGCATCACATTCAGACTTGCAGTGTTACCAGCAGTCAATTATTGCTAAAATAAAGGAATGGGGTGGTGAATTAAAAAAAACTCCAAAGGAATGTTATAGAAAGACAGTCACCCACTGGGTGCTTGCTTGTCATCTTTCTCCTGGAGTGCAGTGTTCTCTCCAAGTGCCCAGGGCCTTGGGGAAATTAGAGAAACAGAAACAGAAAGCTGTCACATGGAAAAAAGAACTCTAATTTTTTTCATGTATGTTCAACATGTAAAGTACTAGGGGAGCAGATCTTGCTAGAACTAGGCAGTACTTTCAACATTATCCCAACATAGTTGTGGAAGGTGGGAGTTCCCTGTCCTGGGAAATGTTCATGGAGGTGCTGGACATCCTTGAGGTAGAGGTGTCCCAAGGGAGGCCATAAGGAAATGGCCCTGGTGACCTTTCAGTTTTCCTCCAAAGCTGACAGTTGGCTCTCTGAGGTTAGGGGTTACGTTGAGACACAGTCCTCTGCTGGGCAAATGTGTCTAACAGGCGATAAGACTCCCAGAGAAGCCCAGGGGAATTAGCAAGAGCCATACAGACCAATAATGGTGACACACTACAAAAACACACATGCATATATGCATACAAAAAGGACACTACAGTGTGCACTTTGTCACTAGCCTTGTGTAATAGCCACCACTGTGACAGATACCTTTTTTTTTCATTCATTAACAACTAGTTGTTGAGTATCTTACATAGGCAAGGCATGACAGCAAGGGGGGCCAGTAGTGAACACCATGGGCACCCTCTGTGGCCTCATGCCACATACAATTAACTAGATGGCTGAAGTCCCATGTGACAGCCATGCAGGAGAAGCTCCAGCGCAGGAACACTGAACAAATATGACAGCATCTGGGAGCAAAGGCCTTCCTGAGGAAGGCCATGCCTGTTGCCCCAGGGGAAAGTGTTTGGGCCTCAGCTGTGTACCTGAGAGAAAACTGTGTGTGTGACAGCATCCAGGAGCTAGAAGGAGCTGCACCCACAATGGTGGAGCCACCCAGGAGAGAATGTTCCCAACAAAGCCAGAAATGGATCCTGTGGGGCCTGAGGTAAAGGAGGATTGGGCTTTGTCCCTGGGCAGCTGGTGAAGGGCATAAGAAGAATGCCACTAAATGGCACTCTGCAATGTGGGAGCACAGACTTGACCAGTGTGCCAAAGCCTCTGCCTGGGACTGAAACTGAAAGATAGTTGAGGAAGAATGACATTGCCTGTGGTCAGGAGAATTTGAGGATCAGAGCTTCTTGTGTCTGTGCTGCTACCCCCAATGTGATCAGAAGTGGAGCTGTGAGACACCTGCCGGGTCATCACCCGGTCCCTGCCAGCTCCAATTTTATGCTTCATTTCCCAAATGACCTATGGGACTTTTTCATTGGAGAAAAAATCAGACTTGCCTGTGGGGTCCCCAGCTTTACTTCAGTCCTGACCTTCTGGCCCTTGTACTTAAGCCAGGAGCAGACACCCCCAGAGATGGGTCAGGCCCCCATTCTCTGTTTCCAGCATCTTCCTAGCCTCACTTTGACAGTGCTGCCAGCTTCCACAGCCAGAGTCCTACCCACAGCCACACATCCTGGGAAAGGTCAAATAATTAAAATCCAAGTGGTTCTAGGGTGTTCCCGGAGCCTGGAGCCAGTTACACACATGTGGGATCTCTGAAAAAATAAAATAAAATAATGGCTTTGTCTCCCTTTTTCTTGGCCACCCTTTTGGCCTTGCAATCAGTTCTTTTGAGTTCTTTCTGTTGTGTTTTTAAGTGGCGCTGGGGTTTGAACTCAGGGTCTCATACTTGCTAAGCAAGCACTCTACCACTTGAGCCACTCCACCAGCCCTCTTTTGACTTCTTTTTGTTTTGAAATGGGGTCTCACTATTTAGCCCAAACTATCCCTGAACTCTCAATCCTGCCTCAGACTCCCAAGTGCTGAGATTATAGGCCTGCAACACCATGCCTCACTCAGCTTTTTTAAAAATCAATAAAATGATTGGAGAACTATGCATGCTTGTGTCCATAAGGAGTTGTACAAAAAATCATGAAAACACTTTGCCAGATGGAGAACCACTTCATATTGAGGTTTACCTAAAAAGTGAGAGCTTTTGCCATTCACTTGGAGAGGCAAGGTTTAGTATTACTTTTGAGAAAATATGTATTCTCTCTTTCTCTCCTCTCTCTCTCTCTCTCTTACACACACACACACACACACACACACAACACACACACAAAAAGCTCTAATTTGACATCTACCCTTCCTTGGGAAAAATAAAGCAGTATTTCTTAAGCCCCTGGCACACACCAGGACCTGTTTTGCATTCTTGGAGTGTAACCTCCCAGAGGCCCTGTAGGTTCTATATAACGGAAGTGAGGCTCAGGTTAAGGCAACGACCTCAGCAGGTCCTGCACCCTGGCTTGTTCAACTGCACAATCTTTTAACTCTTCATCACAGTCTGTGCTGACCTGACTTTCTTCATCCAGATTGGGAGAAGGAAGGGTAAAAGCTATCTGCTCACCCACCTAGGCCTTGTTTCCTGGGTCTGGGCAGCTGTTCAAGTAGACATCCAACCCGCAGCAGCCTCCCTTCCAAAGACATGAAGGACCTGGTTTGTTGGGAAAACCATGTCCCTTGGGGAGCACAGGAAGAAGCTGTCTGATTTACTGTGCCCTCCAGGATGTACATGGCTCTGCCCAGATCAGCAATAAGATACTGGGTGCCCCCGCCCCCACCTCTAAAGCATGCGTGCTCTTTCTCTGGCTAGGTGGCTTTGTGAACAAAGAAACTGTGTGACCTACACATCTACATTTCTTGCTCTTAGTCTCCTATACAAAAAACACTTCTCAACAGGTGGTGCATAACTAAAATCCCAGTACTTAGGAGGCTAAGGCAGTAGGACCATGAGTTTGAGGCCAGCCTGGACTACTAGTGAGGCCCTGACTCAAAAACAAAACAAAAAAAGAACTTTTCAGGGTCTCCTCAGCTGCTTTCTCAGCCAGAGAAGTAGCCAAGAAGTATCATCTTCCCAGGAGGAAGGTGAAGAAAAGCCAGTAGCTTCAGGGACGGACAGATTAGATAAACCTCTAACCTGTCCTAGGATACTGGTGGAATCCTTCACAGCCTCCCTCAGATTCCTTTCCCAGGACCTCTGGATCCTGAGAACCAAAAAAATAATAATGGAGGGAGATCTGTCTCTGTTCCCTAGGGCTCCTGGAAGGTGCCACAACCCAGGAGGTAGAAACAACAGAGATCTCTGTCTCACGGTTTTGGAGATTGGCCAGGCTCATTCCCTCTGAGGGCTGGGAGAGAGTCGGGTCTATGTCTCTCCCCTGGCTGCAGGTGGCTTGCTAGCAGTCACATATCACTCTGACCTCCACCTCTGTCTTCACACAGTGTTCCCCCTCAGTGGGGGACTTCACTCTTTCCCTCTGTGCATGTCTGTCTCTGGATGAGTGCTGTTGGGTTAGGGGCCACACTAATGACCTCATTTTAACACAGCTACTTCTGTAAATCTATTTCCAGATAGGGTTACACTCTGAAATACTGAGGATTAGGACTTCAATATTCATTTTTGGAGGGACACCACTCAACCTATAGTATAAGAATTAAACATTCCTCAAAATTGACTTTGAATAAATGCTGTTTGTTAGGAGCACAGACTCTAAAGATTACCTGGATTTGAATACTGGCTCTGCCACTTACCAACTGTGCAATCTTGGGTAACTTATTTAGCCTCTCTGTGTTCACTTTCCTGAGCTGTGAAATGGGAACAATAATATCCATACTACTTAGGTTGATATAAACATTAAGTAAGAAACATTCTCATCCTAATGCTTAGAATAGTCTCCACATGTTGCTGTATATATTAACTGAGTTGTCACAACTCATGGAGGTGGATGGTCATCCCTATCTTACAGAAACAAAAACTAAACCCTAGAAAGATTAAGTCACATGGGTACAGCCCCACACCACAAAGTGGGAAAATCAGGACCCATACCCTGGTTTGTGTGATTCCAGGTCCTTTCAGGAGGGACTGTGACTGTCTGCCTCCCCAAGAACAATAAAAGTATCTTGTAATACTGAAGAGAATCACAGATCAACACCTTCCCTATTTTCAAAGGCCTAATTTTGGGGGCACATCCTGTAATGTCAATCTGTGTCTAAGAAACACACTTCTGTCTTAAGAAAAGCCCCAAATTGAAGGGCATTTGTACGTCCTCCAACCCCAGCATGGCTTGGAAGGAGTCCCCCCCGCCCAGGAGAGCCAGGAAGAAATAAGCCCACTGCTACCTTCCTTCCCAGGGAATGCTGGACCTCTCCCTGACATCTGACTGTGATTTGTGTCACCCTTCTAGGGCATTCGATCAGAACCTCTGCACTGATCAAGTGGATGCGCTGTCTTTGAAGAAAGAGACCTTCCCTCCCGTGGGCCACCTCACCAGTGACTCCAAGTGGAACTGCTTCGCTTGCATGTACCTGGAAGACACGGGAACCCCAGCCACTTCCCCACGCACCTCCCAGAGGACCAGTGGGAATTGTTCATAGTGCCAAAGTCCTACTACTGCGTTTTCAATGGGTCCTTGTACATAGTTTGCTCCTCTGCCCCAGCCCCCACATCTTGCTATACTGGAACCGATTTGTACAATGTGGGAATTTTGTTACCTTTTTAATGGAGGGCAGCTTCCTTTTCCAGCACTACTATTGTAAGGTTTTTTTCCCAGGAGGAGGGCTAACCACTTTGCTTATTCCTTTCCTTTCCTCTTTTTTCTTTTTTTTTTTTTCTTTTATTAATTTAGGAGAGGGAGTATTAGTGCCATTATATCTACTGGATTTCTAGGTAGGGAAAGTTGCTTTTTAAAGGTAGTTTGAAGTTTGGAAGATTTATTGGTGGGAGAAGCTTTGTAGATGGCAGATCTTCCAAGTCAAACCCATTTATTTCCTCCACTGCCTTTGGGGGACTCCGCCTTAGCCATACATAGGCTTTCTGAACTGCCAAGATTTGGGTGTGACTTCTCAACTGTCTGAGACTTAGGGGCTGGATCTGACCCAGTCAGCACTGGGAAAGCCTGGCAGGAGGGAACCACCTCATGAAACACCTCTCTAAATATCGGCAGAAAGGACTCCTACACTGATTAGCATCATCGGTACTCTTATGAAATTAAAAAAACGATCTTCCTCTTTAGGTGATACAAAAACGAACAGCTTTGGTTTTCATTTCTTTTCTTAACTGCCTTTTCTCAGTGTGGTATTTAACAAGATTTCTGTTTGGAGCCGCACCATAAATTGATTTTTTTGCTGTTGTTGTTTGCGTGTGTGTTTGTTTTGGGCCAATTTTAGATACCTGAGTGCACTTTTTTCAGTTAGTCCTAACTTTTAAAGAAGGAAAGCCAAGAGATCTATCTGGTGTAAATGTTGCAATACGAGTTATGTTTGCATCCCCCTTTCCTGTCTCCCACTGTCCCATCCCCCACCCCCACCCCCCCACCCCCCGCCCCGCCATTTGAGTTCACTGCACAAATAAAATGCTAGGGAGTTTGAATAAAAACCAATTTTCTAACTTGTTGCTTATCTGTTGTAACTCAATAAAGCAAAGACTAAACATTTTTATAACCTTTTCCTCTGTTCCTCCTTCTTCATTGCCATCCGGCTCCAAAGGGCTCAACCTAGGATTCCTGATTTAGCCACCCCCTGTTGCAAATTCATTACGGCCAAGTCTGATGTCACAAATGGGGCTTTAAAATCAGGTTGTTCACACAGGATCCTTCATCATATCTACCTACTTAGAAAGAAGTTCTAAGCCCTCCCTTCTCCATGGTCATAGAAAATTGATCCTTAAAATACTGCAGAGGAAAATACCAGAGTGGGAGTGGGAAGGGCTTCTGAGCCCAGCTTGCTCTTGGGTGACCTAAGGTAAGTCCCTCCTCCTCCCTGGGCTGATGGTGACTGGTCTAAGTCACTACCATTACTTAGATGTTTACAGTTCCTCGCATTCATGCCTGGCACTCATTTAAACCCTGGGTTCTCAGAGTTGAGCAGGTACCAAAATCAGCAGGTCTGCAGTGGGGCCTAAGAACATGCATTGCTAACGAGGTTCAGAGATCCCACCTTGGGTACCTCTGCTCCAGATGTTTCATTCTTACAGGGACTCAAAGATTTGGGGTCAGTTTATCTAAACTAAGCATGTGTTTATTCTTCAAAGGAAAAGTCCCTACCTCCACTTCCCAAATATAGGAAACATCGACAAATCAGAAATTCCTAAGAGCCTGGCCTTCTCTTGAAGACACACTCCATCTCCCCTTCAGAAGTCTGTGCTCCACCCATGTTTATTGAGGCACTATTCACAATAGCCAAGTTATGGAAACAGCCAAGATGCCCCACCACTGATGAATGGATTAAGAAAATGTGGTATCTATACACAATGGAATTTTATGCAGCCATGAAGAAGAATGAAATGTTATCATTCGCTAGTAAATGGATGGAATTGGAGAACATCATGCTGAGTGAGGTTAGCTTGGCCCAAAAGACCAAAAATCGTATGTGCTCCCTCATATGTGGACATTAGATCAAGGGCAAACACAACAAGGGGATTGGACTTTGAGCACATGATAAAAGCGAGAGCACACAAGGGAGGGGTGAGGATAGGTAAGACACCTAAAAAATTAGCTAGCATTTGTTGCCCTTAACGCAGAGAAACTAAAGCAGATACCTTAAAAGCAACTGAGGCCAATAGGAAAAAGGGACCAGGAACTAGAGAAAAGGTTAGATCAAAGAGAATTAACCTAGAAGGTAACACACACGCACAGGAAATTAATGTGAGTCAACTCCCTGTATAGCTATCCTTATCTCAACTAGCAAAAACGCTTGTTCCTTCCTATTTTTGCTTATACTCTCTCTTCAACAAAATTAGAAATAAGGGCAAAATAGTTTCTGCTGGGTATTGAGGGGGGGAGGAGAGGGAGGGGGCAGAGTGGGTGGTAAGGGAGGGGGTGGGGGCAGGGGGGAGAAATGACCCAAGCCTTGTATGCACATATGAATAATAAAACAATAAAAAAAGAAAAAAGAAAGTCTGTACTCATTCCTATGGGCCCCATGACACCACGCCCATCTCTTCCCACTACATAGCTTTAGTTGTCATTGGGTCAGAGCCCATAGGTTCTCCATAAATCTGTCATCTCTAAAGTCACCGAATTCTCCTTATCAAATCAGCAAAGATGAATATGGCCAGCTATTAAAAAATAATCTTTTTACTGAGCACTTACTATGGGTTAAGCTTTGTGATGAGTCCTTCACATACATTTTCTTATTTTATCTTTACAACCTTCTGAGATAGGTGCCCCCATGATACAGATGAGAAACTGGGCTGAGGGAGGTTTTGTAACAAGACCAAATTCATGCAGATATTAAGTGATCGTCATAGAAGTCTATTAATTTTGCCTCTTCCTCACTTGTAATGAAAGCAGCCTCTTTCCTATGGGAACTGCCTTCCCTGTTCCATGAGGTTCTGATGGGACCATTAATGGGACCTGCTCTAATACATAACCCAAACCTGGCCTATCATGGTCTCATCCCCTGGCCCAGTGGTGGCATGAGGACCAAGTAGGGCCAGTTGAGCCTTTTCCTCAGAGATGTATGCTAAGACAGACAAGCTCCATTCTTTCTGACTGGGTGGCAAAATGAAGCAGAGTTAGGCCTGGAGCTGATTGCTGCTGTTTCTGTGGCCTCTCTGCCTACGTTAAAAATTCAGAAAAGCAACTATTTTAGAGTATCGCAACTCTTGGAATATTACTCAGTAGGTAAGCTGCTATAACAAAAAAGCCCAAAATGTAGTGTTTCAATCAGAATAAAAGCTTGTTTTTGTCTCAGAAAACAGTTAAGGATGGGCCTTTAGTCCACACAGCCAGGATGGCAGGTGACTCAGCTATCTTCAGCAGGTGCCTTTCACCTCTAGGTCAGAGTTGGCTGCTTCAGTTATCCTCATTCATATAGCCAAAGGTGCCACCACAAGTCCACTTCCACATCCTAAACCTTGGGAAGTATGGAAGGGAAGCAACTTTAGTTTTAAGGTCATAAAACATAAATTGTCACTTCGGTTCCTGTCCTAATAGCCAAAACCTAGTCATGGCAATATCTAGCTGGAAGGAAAGCTAGCTAAGTGGCCAAGAACCAACATAGTAGGGGCTCTGGCCCTACAGAATAGAAGGTAAGAGTTGATATGAGCAGACAACCTCAGCCATAAGGAGATTCAGGTGCACCTGACATAAGTCCACCACTCTTCCCAGGTCCAAGAGCCCTATATTTTCATTTCTTTGGTTCAAATTGAGACTCTGGAACTTAAAGCCAATGATCATGACCAATAGCATCTTGAAATTAGAATTTACCCAAGACTTTCCAAGGCCAAAGCCTACCCTTCCCCATCATATAGACCATCTCTAATGTCTAGAAAATCATCTTAGTTATCAGTACCTGTCTGATCTCCACCCTCATAGTAACAGGTCAAGTTTGGAGAAAGCCCAAGGGTGACAGGGAAACAAAGGGTGCAAGAAAGAAAGCAATGGAAGGAAGGAAGGAAGGAAAGAAGGAAGGAAAGATGGAGGGAGGATGAGACGGAGGGAGGTTAGAAGGGAGGGAGAATAGGAAGAAAGAAAAGAGAGCAGTGACTATAGCTGACTCATTTCCAGTCCCAGCCTGCATGCCTTCCTACCTGTGTTCCTAGCACCTGCCCCTCCCCCAACCTCATCACCCCCATGCCATCCTGTCCTTCCCATTAATGAGCATCTCTAGCACTTCCCTCAGCAGGCAGTTGTCCTCTCCTGCTATTTACCTCCCTTGCAGTTAAGCTTACCACACAGAAGCAATTTAAACTAATTCTTCAAGTAAGGCAGGGTGAGCCACCATCAAAATGCCTAATGTCTGAAGAAACCAAAAAGAAAGCCCTGATAATTGGTGGGAATAAAAAATGGAAGATAGTCGTGCTTTTTTAACCACCCAGCAAAATATGTCAAGTGGTCTTTCTCTACTAGGAATGATTAAAGAGCAGCAGAAACTAGGAAAGAAGTACCCAAGGAGCATGAATGGACAGGGTTCTTGGTGAGGTAGAAAAGAGTGGCACGGGGATCGGTCACCTGCTGCTTTTGTCTGTCCCATGCCTCTTCCCACTTCTATCGCTTCCTTGAGGGGACCCTCCTTTCTTCCTCCTCCTGATTCTGGGGAAGAATCATGATTAGTCACCTCCCTTCCACAGTGGAGAGCCATGTCACTCCAGTGCCCTGTTCACCTAGAGAGGTAAGGGACCATGCAAAGACCCAAGCAGGACCAATCAGGCACTGGGAGAAAGAGCTTACTTTTCCCACTACATGGTGAGCATGATATTTGCCTGGAGCCACCAATGCCCGAAACTCTTGCCAGGAAGAGAAGCCAGTCTATAGGTAAGAAGAATATGACCAAAGCAGTCAAGAAAGGAGGGAGCTGTGAAAGGAGAGAGATGAAGACAACAATGGTGCTGTGACAACAAAGGTGCCATTCATAAGGCCAGCTCCATCTTCCCATTTCCATAAAAACCAACACAGTTCCCTTTTTGATTTAAACTAAAAATATTCTGAGTTGAGTTTCTATCATTAGAAACTCAGAGTTCTGATGAGTTGTTGAGATTAGGGGATAAATATCAAAGAAAAGATGCTACATGTAAAAGAGCCACATGGCAGCTAGTGGCTATAGCTTTAAGTAATATAGCTCTAAGT